AAAAGTGGCGGGGGGGGGCGCCTCCTGGCTCAGTTGTTACAGTATGAGACTCCTAATCTCGGGGTTATGAGATTACTTAAAAATAAAGTCTTTTTTAAAAAATCAACAATTATTTCACCCAAAGAGAACTACTGTTAAATCTGGGGGGACATCTACTATTATTCCTACGTAGGGCCTCTGGATTTGCCATGCCTTCTGCCTGGCACACTCTTCTCCCAGAAGTCTGCCTGGTTTACTTACTGTATTCAGTCTCTGCTCGACTGTCAGTAGACCAGGGAGACCCTGCCTAATGTAGCACCCATCCTTACTCTCTATCCTCTTCTCTGCTTTATTTTTCTTTAGAGCACTTAACCATAAGTGGTATTACAAAATAGGTTTATTTTTTATTATCTGTCTCACCAAATGGATTGTAAGTGTAAAGATATAGCCCCACTCCTAGAACAGTACACCTATCACTAGTAAGAGATGCTCAATTAATACATATATTGTATTTGTTTCTTTATCAAATATATATTGAGTTCCTATTATATAGAGTCTTTTATCTTTGTATGTATAATTTTTAATAGGATTATACCAGACATACTGTTTTGCAGACTGTATTTTTCATTTGGCAATAAACTATGAAGACATATCAGAAATTCCTATCCAATGTGATTTTATTAACGGCATAAAGGATGTTAATAACCCCTATTGTTAGGCCAGTACATGGGCACTCTGATGCATCCTTCAAATACAAATTAAGGTCAATGAGGTAAGATAGTTATTAATAATATTAACAATGCCAGGGGCACCTGGGTGGCTCAGTTGGTTAAGCGACTGCCTTCGGCTCAGGTCATGATCCTGGAGTCCCTGGATCGAGTCCCGCATCGGGCTCCCTGCTCCGCGGGGAGCCTGCTTCTCCCTCTGCCTCTGTCTCTCTCTCTCTGTCTCTCATGAATAAATAAATAAAATCTTTAAAAAATAATAATAATATTAACAATGCCCTATATTCACAGGTACTTTATAGTTTATAAACTATTTTCATATCTCCCTTGATCCTTACAAAAAACTCAAAGTAAACAGAGCAGAAATTCAAAGAGGTTAAATAAATAATTTCCCTAAAATAATAAAACCAGTAATAGGGGGTCCAGACTCAAACCTAGCTCTGTCTGTCTCTGCAGCTTAGGCTCCTCATGTACCTCATCGTCCCTGGTTGACAATGTCATTTTACAGATGAGCGATCCATGCTTAGAGAAGGGAGTAGTGATGTGCCCAGAATCACACAGCTTCTTCAAGAAAGAATACAGATAAAACAGAACCCAGGATTCCTGACTCCCCATCCAAAGCTCTTTCAACTACATGCTGGCTCAATAAATTAGGGGGAAAAAAATCCTAAATTACTGCGTAGTCAAATCAGCAAACAATACATGCTGTTATACTTCTCTGAAGATTACACAGCGTATTTGCTTGGTGCTGCGAAGTGCCAACCTGATGACACTTGCAATCCTGAGCTTATTTGATGTGGTTGGGAAGCAAATGAGATTCCAGTACCCCTGTTGCACATAGGTGCTCAATGAGCATTTCCTGCATGGTGGGGAAGTGCCCTATATTTACAGTATTTGATCCAGTTTAACAGCAAGATCTAATGTTAACATTAGCCTTGTAAAAGTTTTCACCCTAGTTCACACAAAAACAAGATTCTGGAGATTATGACTAGCAATTCTTCATGAGTTGATTTATCTGAATAAAACCTATAAGGTTTTGAACCATTAAACATTCGATTTAGAAAAAAAAATCTTAGCATACAGAAGAAATAAACTGAAAAATGGAACAGATTTGTTTCTTGTAATAATTATGAGCAATATCTCAAACTCAGCATCCTTAGACCACTGAGCTGTGTAGGATGAATGTGCTAATTAATCAATTACTACCCAACAATGTACCCTGTTTATTTACTGAAATGCACCAGAAACGTGTGTAGAGCTGGTAATTATTAATCATCTTCAGTAACAAATATGACTCAAGTTCACCTTCATATAATTAATAGAGCATGTAGTTAGCTTTAACATCTTGCTTTATTAGAAATAGCAACAAGGAATTAAAAAAAAAAAAGCTGAACTACAAGTTGTGGTTCACTGAAATGCTGGCTTGGACTAAATGTGCCTATTATGCATAGTGGTGGTATTACTCATACCCATTCAAATTATGGCCAGATGCAAAGTTTTTAAAACTAAACTTTTTAATTTGAATAAAATTTTAGACTAACCAAGAAGTTGTAAAAAATAGTTCAACACATTTCCATATATGCTTTACTCATGGTCCCCAAATAAAACCCAATTTTCAGAGCCCGATAACTGGCTTAGAGTTGGGATCTTTGTTGATGGTGCCCAAACATCCTGGCAGGTTTTAAATTTTCAAGATATTTTAGAAGTATTTTCAATATACATAGAAATAGTTGTTTTACAACAAATTTTGCAAAGTGATCTAGTTTTGAAAACCTTTTTATTTTTTTTGGAGTCATCATGTAGGCCCCCAAATTTCCTTTGAGGCAGATAGACTTCTAGGCTAGAAGGGCCATATTTTGGTACAATGCTATTTCCTGATAATGCAACATCTAAGGGATGTTCACTTGTGTCAGCAACATTTACGCTGAGTCTGGCATCACCTGACTCTGTAACTATGTTCAAAGTATGAGATTTTGCATACCGTCAATGAAGGTTCAAATCCCAGCTGCCTGCTCTGTGACTGCAGTTAACTATCTTAACTTCTCTAACTTCTGATACTCAGTTTTCTCAGCCTGAAATTGAGGTAAATGAAGCCCTGCTTTGGAGTGTTGTTTAAATGAGAAAATAGGTGTAAACTACCTAGCAGGAAGAAACACTCAGGAACTGGTAGATACCATTTTGCTGGTATTATTACCCTCTGCAGCCACTTTTAGCTTATGGAACTGAAATGTACACACCTAAGCACACACAAATAAAAAAGTATTTCACACAATGGAAACTGCAAATGTAAATTAACATTTTTGGAAGTTTTCTCCTGAAAGGAAAAATTGGATTAAAATTTAATATTAACTGCACAGAAAATTAAAAACTTCTCCCATCTGAAATACCAGTGGAACATCACTTCAAAAATATAAACTGACAAATAAATAAATCAGTGGGTGGACTACTGTATTTCTATTATCAAATTATTCAGGGCCCCTTTAAATGGAGAGCCCCCTTAGGGCATCTCAGTATTTGTTTATAGATCATTAACTACTTGACAGGGAGACTAGGGAGGGGGCATAAAGACTTCAGCTGAAGTGCTAAAAGCCACTGTCGAATGAAGATCATCAGTAAAGCCAAAACATCTTTGGAATTCAGTATGAAGATATGATTTGTGTTAAAAAATGTCATATGCTTTTCATGCATGTATCTGTTAGTAAAACAAAGTTCATTTTACAAGGCTGGGACCATAACTATGACCCATATGACAAGGTAAATTTATTTGGCCATGTTTTCAAATGCTTCCCCAAACTGACTAGATAGGATTTGCAATATTGGGAACATGCCCATAAAATGGATTGTGTTCTCTATTAGCATAAATCGCTATCTGGTTTCAAAAAGTCACAAATATGTCTCCGTGCCACTGGATTCTAGCATCCACCGCAGGAGAAGGAAATAGAAATGTTTCCTAATGAAAAGTTCACAGAAAGTTGGAAGGTCAGAATTTTGATTCTTGATTCTAGTATATGATCTTGGGTAAGTTTCTTATCTATTCTATAGTTTAATTTCTCTAACTACCAAAATTAAAATTGTAATTAAATTAAAACCACTTACCCTACATATTACAATTTTTCTCTAACATCCCTCAAACATACTAATTGTATTCACTTTGCTCACTTTTTTTTTTTTTTTTCATTTTTTCAAGATGTTGAGTACCTACCATATTGCAAGTACTGTCCTAGGTGCTAGAATCACAAAGATTAACAAAACAGGCATAAGTCCCTGGCCTTAGGAAGTTTGCATTCCAGTGGGGGGAGAGCTTGAGAGTAGTTTAGACACAACATGCAGTTTAGATGAGATCTCTCTACCCTCTGTGTTCACAGTAACATGTTTTACCAGGGTAATGCTTCCTGCCACTCTTTGTAGCAGCAGCCCCAGCTGCCAGCCAACTCCTTGGAGGCTTTCAGAACATCAATCAGTTTCCCACAGGACTCAAGATCTAGGTAAGTATACAGCAGTTCTTTCCTTTCCTAATGACTTCTGCCATAACTCAGTACCTCCATGAGGATAATTTTGCATAAAGCCAATGTATACTGTCCTTGCCAGGGCCGACACAAGGATACAGGAATGGAGCAGCAAGCAAAGTTCACCACTAATGGGAGTGGGGAGAATTAATGAGCATTCATCCAGCTGTAGGGGTAACTCAAGCCACCTCCTCTGGTGCTGAGCTTGGCTTAGAGGGCGCTGAGCCATTAAAGAGATTTGGGTTCCTAGGAGAGCCTGGTCAGTGGCTCTTTGGGGGTATCTGTTTTTAAGTTCCAAAGCACACTGGAATATGAATCAGGCAGCATCATCTCCATAGTCCTTCTTTCCTTGAACCAAAAGTCCTTAAGCCTCAAAGTGGAATTTGTCAATGAAATCCTAAATGTAAACATTTATATCCCTTTTTCATAATTCCTTTATCTTTTACTAACTGGCTGACATATGCACCCACTATCTTGCCTATAGTTCTCCCTCTGAGAACAGCAGTGAATTAAAATCTACATGTCTACTTTACTTTCTTTTAAATCACACCATTAGAAATATATGAGTAAATCATAATCTCACAGCAAGGTGCTAAAAAACAATGTGAGAATAAATATTCTATATATGTACAAGGTCACGTTTGGGTCATGCCCATTATTTATGTTCTCTATATGTATTTCTTAATAAACACTGATAATAGGCTGTGTTAATATGTAATACTACCTGTAGAATTTATTCTTTTTCAAGCTTTTAATTGAAGTATAATATACATACAGAAAATGCACATACCATACATGTTCAGTTAGAAGAATTTTCGGGGCACCTGGGTTGCTTAGTTGATTAAGCGTCCGAATCTTGATCTCAGCTCAGGTCCTGATCTCAGTGTCATGAGTTCAAGCTCTGTATTGGGCTCCATGCTGGGCGTGGAACCTACTTAAAAGAAATTTTTTTTCACAAATTGACTACAGCCATTTAACTAGGGACCAGATCAATCACAGGTTCATCAGTCATAACGAATCTATCACGCTGGTGGGGATGTTGATAATGGGGAAGGCTATGCATGTGTGGGGCAGAGGATATATGAGAAATCTCTTTATCTTCCTCTTAATTTTTCTGTGAGCCTAAAATTACTCTAAGAAAAAACGTCTTGGGGCACCTGGGTAGCTCAGTCAGTTAAATGTCTGCCTTTGGTTCAGGTTATGATCCCAGCATCCTGGGATCAAGCCTCATGTGGGAGTTCCCTAATCGTCCGGGAGTCTGCTTTTCCCTCTGCACCTCCCCCCTGCTCACGCTCTCTCTCTCTCTCCCTCTCTCTTGCTCTCTCTCAAATAAATAAATAAAATCTTTTAAAAAAAAAGAGTCTTAAAAAGAACTATAGAAATATATGAACAAAAGAAGAGAATAATCCAATCCCCAAGATGTCCCCTCATCCTCCTAGTCCTGACTCCCCTAGATCTCCACCCCTGTAAGGGTGATCACTATCCTGCCTCCTAACAGCAAAGATGAATTTTGGCCAGTTTTCATAACTCATGGAAATGAAATCATATTATAAGTACTTTAGAGTCTGACTTCTTTCACTCTTCCTTATGTTCATGAGATTCATGCTTGCTGTGTGCAATTATGGACCATTCCTTCTCATTGTTATATAGTATTCCATCAAGTGAATGCCACAATTTGTCTATCTGCTCTATTATTGACAGGCATGTGAGTAATTTCCAGGTTGAATATCACAAATATGAATAGTGTTATGAATATTCTACTACATGTCTTTTGGAGAATATGTGCACACAATTTCTGTGGGGCATTGTTACGGCTGAATGTTTGCATCCCCTCAATATTCACATATTGAAGCCCTTAACACCCGATGTGACAGTAGTTGGAGATAGGGTCCCTGAAAAAGTGATAAAAGTTAAATGAAGTCATAAGAGTGGGACCCTAATCTGATAGGGCTGGTGCTCTTGTCAGAAGAGAAAAAGGCAGACACCAGAATTAGCTCTGTCTGCCATGAGAGGATATACTAAGAAGGAGCTATAAGCCAGGAAGAGAACTCTGTCCAAGAAAAATCCAATCAGCCAGCACCCTGATCTTAGACTTCCTAGTCTCCAGAACTGTGAATAACAAATTTCTGTTGTTTAGGCAGCCAATTTGTGGTATTTTGTTATGGCAGCCTTACTAATACAAATATATATCCAAGAGTGACATGGCTGATCATAACATTACATACATTACATATGCAGCTGAATATATACTGCCAAAATTTTTTCCAAATTGGTTGCCAGCAGTATATAAAAGTTCTAATTGCTGCATATCCTCACCAACATTTAGAACTTTCCATCTTTTCTACTTCGGCTACTTTGGTAGGTGTGTAATGGTACTACATTGTGGTTTTAATTTCCATTTTTTTGATGATTATTGAAATTAAGCAATTTTTCCCATGTTTATTGGACATCTGGATATTGCTTTCTGAAGAGTCCATTCAAATATTTTGTCCATCTTTCTACTGGACTGTCTTTTTTAAATGATTTGTTCTAGATACCAAGTGCTTTGTCAGAGATAGGTATTGCAAATACTTTTCCCACACTATGGATTACTTTTCGATTCTCTTAATAGTGCCTTTTAATGAACAGAAATTCTTAATTTTAATATATTCCAATTTATCAATTTTGAAGAACTCATTTTTTAAAAGATTTTATATATTTATGAGAGAGAGAGCAGGAGCAGGGGCGGGGGGAGGGGCAGAGGGAGAGGGAGACAAGCAGACTCCTGGCTGAGCCTGGGATCCATCCCAGGACCCTGAGATTATGACCTGAGCAGAAGGCAGATGCTTAACTGACTGAGCCACCCAGGCACCCCAAGAACTAATTTTTAGCATGTTCTGAACACCTATAGCATCCTAGGTGCCTTTAAGACAAAAATAAGGCTAAATCCCTTCTTTCTAGGAGTAATATCATATCCATACACAAGCTAAATGCTATACACAGCATCACTCTTCATAGTTATTTTTAAGGGGTTCCTTCTAAAGGGGTATGCCATTTCTCCATGTATTGTGTAAAACTAAGTGTTTATGTGTTTATGGCATTAATTCTTAATTATTGGACACAATGTTTTTTAAACATTGACTTATGCTTTTGAATGCCAATTTCTAAGCCCCTTTGTTTCACAGCCATCAAGAATTGGAACTGATCTGAGTTGTGGATTTTTAAGAAATGATCTTATTTCAGTTATGGTGGTGGCACTGTTATAATCTTAAAGTCAGAAGAGATAGCTAGAAGTCATGTTTTCCAGCTCTGTATTTTTAGGTTAAGAAAATATTTCATTCAAAAACTCCTTAATACCTGAGTGTGATCCACTATCTATCTGCTTTCTTTGAAGTAATTTCCTACCTTAGAATAGAAGACAGAGATAGTCATGGTATCTTATAGATGCCACAGAACCTAGAGTTTCTCAGACATACTTCAGGTTCCACAAATGTTTGATTCAAATTTCACTTTTTAAAATTGATTTTCATACTGCTAAGGGATATAATGCCAAAATTTAACACACTGCAAACTGCCTACACGTTAATTTGAGGTTAAATCATCTGAGTGTAGATCTCAGAATTAATCTCCTCCTGCCATCTTTATACTTGAAGCATATGTCCAAGATTTCAACGCAAATCATTAAGACCATTCTAATTTGTATCTACTTTTCTGGATGGATCAGGATATTCTTGATAGTGTACAATCAAAACAGAAGAATAAGAAACTGTCCTGAGGCTGCTTGTAGCTGTCCTAACTGCAACTGTTGTCCATAACCCCCAACTTCGGAAGTTTTCCAGCATAAAAGAGCAGAGTCAAGACTTCAGTGGCAGTGAGGCCATCACGGCACCCTAACCAGACTAGTTTCTGTTGGTCTCTGCCGCCCACAGACTCCCTTGGTTCCTTCCCATTTTCTGAACGTGGTTCTGCCAACTTCCCATTTATTACTTTAGCTACCCAATTTCCTTCTGATAAATTCCTTGTCTGTTAAAAACAAAACAAAACAAAACAAAAACAACACACCTCTTTTTTTAAAAAAATTTACCTATGAAGTTAATATTAAAATTTTGAACTTATGTTTAATAAATTCCTTGTCTGTTAAAAAAAAAACAAAACAAAAACAACACGCCTCTTTTTTAAAAAAAATTTACCTATAAAGTTAATATTAAAATTTTGAACTTATGTTTAATAAAAAAACACAAGTTTTCATCTACTTTGTATGTTGGGGTTCTGTGACAGATTTTGTGTGAAAAAGACTCCAATACTTCTCAAAATTTAATTTGAAAATCACAGTACTAAATCGCCTCCCTGACTCCTGTCTTAGCCTCCCTTCAGCCATTTCTCTTGCAAGTCTAACCACATCATGCCTCCATCTAAAATCTTTTTAAAAACTTTTATCTAATAGGGAATCCTATAAGGTAAAGTTCAAATTATGTGCAGGACTACAAGTCCCCTCAAAATTTGGCACATGGTAACAGGTACTTAATGTTTGTTGAATGAGTCATTAAAAACTGAAAAATGTAAAAACTGGTCACATTATCCTACATCCCTCCCTCGACTTTCAAAAATTAGTTGGTGTGTGATGCTTACACCTAATTCTCTCATTTACATATAATGCTTTCCAGACATATCATCTTATTTATGTATGGCTTCTCCAAACAAGGCAAGTTTAGGACAAATAGGAAGAAATGCTTCTTTAGAAAGCAGGTGTATATAAAATATTACCTCAAGTGGCTATGAAGTTTGAGAAAAGGTTTTCCTAAAGTAATAGACTGATAATGGGTGGCTGAGGATTATAAAGGCTTATAACTAAAAGACCCCTGGTCTGACATTCACCGAGCTTAGGAGGGAGGTAGAGGTGCGCATCTGGGCAATGCACGGAGGGATGTGGGACATTTTTAAAAACTTTAAAATTTTATTGTTTTTAGAATTTATAAACTTTTTTATTAACTATCTGGGGCTTACCCTAAACAGTGAACATGACAGAGAAGACCTAAACATAAAAGTGCTTCCCGACTTTACCAGCCAGTGCAAATCTGTGGACTCTGCGTTTAACTCGCTTCCCCAAAGGCACCTTCTCAAGTGTCTCCTCAGCAACGCCATGTAAGCATCTCACTCGAGCCCAAGGCTTAGAAGAGAGCTCTGGGTGTCAGTTCTGCCACTCACTACGGAGGTTATTTATTTTAAGCCTTAATTTTCCTCACACCCCTACCGATAACCCCCCCGAATCCCCACCCCGGCTCCCAGCCCCCGGCGCCCCAGGGTTGTTAACGCCTACATGAGGTCACATGTGACGATTTAATTACCTCCTCTGCGCGGCTGACCCTCGGACTACCCCGGCCGGGCCCTCCGCCCGCCCCTCGGCCCCCTCGCGGGAGACCGCGAGACCTTCGTGCGCACGCGCCGCTGCGCCCCGGGGCGCTCTCGCGCACTGGCGCGGCGCCCACTGGGCGTCCCCGCGGCTCGCCCCGGGGCGCGGGCGCGCGCGCGCTCCGGCGGCCCCGCCCCCAGCGGCGCGCGCCCCACGGCCGCCGAGGGGCGGGGACGCGAGCGAGGCCGGCCATGGAGCCCCTGCGGAGGGCCCACGAGGCCGCGCTCCGGCTGCTGCTGTGTCGGCCTTGGGCCTCGGGCGCCGCCTCCCGCCCGAAGCCCCGCGCCTCGGAGGTGCTGACGCGGCACCTGCTGCAGCGACGCCTGCCGCACTGGACCTCCTTCTGCGTGCCCTACAGCGCCGTCCGCAACGACCAGTTCGGCCTCTCGCACTTCAACTGGCCCGTGCACGACGCCAACTACCACGTCCTGCGTACCGGCTGCTTCCCCTACATCAAGTACCACTGCTCCAAGGCCCCCTGGCAGGACCTGGCCGGGCAGGATCGGTTCTTCACGGCGCTCAAGGTCGTCAACCTGGGTGAGTGGCCCGGGCCTGTGAAGCACGTCCCGCTGACAGTGGGATCACTGTTTGCAAAGCACGCTGACGAACGTCGCTCAGACGCCGAGACCCCGGCCCCAAGGTCAGGCCGCGACAGCGCCGGGGAGCCCCGCCTCGGCCCCGCGCAGGCTCGCCCGGGCGCACGCGCTCGCCACGCTTCGGCCCGCGCTGTTGGGTTTCCCAGGCCCTGCCCCCGCGTCTCACCCGCTCTGCGGCGTTCTAGGACTGGCCTTGGCCCTAGTGTTTTGGATTCCCCCACCCCCCCCAATCCCTCCCCGTACATGCTTGTCGGGGCTGAGTAGTTGCTACTGAGTCATTCCCAGAAAAGTCGGGCTTTATCCCAGACCTATATCCAGGGACCACACTGCGTCACCCCTGGGGAGGAGACCTTCATGCCATCCTCACCTGCTGCAGCTCTTGACTGGGAGGACCCGGACCCCCACAGTGGGCAGTAAGAATGAGGGTGTAAGGAAACGACCCCACTGCAAAGTGGCTCTGAAGTTAAGAAATGTCTTACTGCATGGCAGGATTCGTTCCCATGACCATCATTTTCTTGGGTGCGTTCGGTATTGTAAAAACTGGAACTACTTTCTGAGTTTCATTGTTTTCTTTATATGAAATCCCAGCAAGTGCGTTTAACTAAAAGCACTAAAGGTTTTCACCGGTCATAGCAGCTTCCTAAGGTGCTAGGCCTAAAAGGTACCAAAATATTCTGCCTCTTTAATATTTCTGTGTTTTCATGGGAATATTCTAATTCGGAGAGCATTTACTCTTCCTGGATGCTTATTTTCTTTTGGCTAATGAGGGAAGAGGCATGAACATTGACATAAGTATATCGTTTGTATCTTTATCGAGAGGCCTCAAGATGTTTTGAACCTATTAATAGGTAATATCACATTGATCCAGATTTTAGTAATTCAAAATCTAGACGTGGGAGCTGAACCATGTTACCCAACCGGTTTTTTTAAACCAGAGTGAAAGCTAAACCCCTGTGCACCTGCATTGGTATTATATAATCTGATGGCTTATTAATTTAAGTATGGTATTTATGTATTTTTGCTTATAGTAACTCACGTCAGTCATGAGATTTTTGAACCATTGGTCTACTGGGACTGTTCTGGGTTCAGTCCACCCAAGGAGAAGATAATTAATTAGCAATGTGTAATTCTTTAAAAATTTGTCCATTTGGCTGATGGACTACATAGAGCATACCCTCTAATTTTGAGGTTGAAGTTGAAGGGTAAGCTCACTTAGAAGATTCGATTCCAAAGACTAGAATGATGAATAGTTTCAGGAAGAAGTTTATTTTAGCATTTTCAGAATCAGCCATTCATCCCAAATGTAAAGAGTAACAGGTTAGGAAAAGTATAATTGGAGGATAATAGGTAAACCATGAGCCAAATGCCTTTTAAAGAAAGTTTTCATTTGAAACTTAATACTTTAAGAACACCTTAATGACTAGGGGCTTCTCTTTTAAATATACATGCAAAGAAATCCAAAGAAAAGTAGGATACCCAGAACATTCTCACACAAAGAAGTGACACATTTTGTGGAAAGAAACAACAGTTGTAGTTTTTTTATGTGGAAGAGAAGGCTGAAGAGTGATTTAATGGTCTTTGGAAATTCTAAAAATCCTGCCCAAACCGGAATAAGAGTTTTAAGTTAAAAAAGGGAAAAGTTTCTGCTCATGCATGCTTTAATACGAATTGGCTTTTACTGGTAAAGGGAATTTTTTTCTGGACTTTTTTTTTTTTTTTTTTTTTAAGATTTTACTTATTTATTTGACAGAGAGAGAGCGAGAGAGGGAACACAAGCAGGGGGAGTGGGAGAGGGAGAAGCAGGCTTCCTGCCGAGCAGGGAGCCCGATGTGGGACTCGATCCCAGGACCCTGGGATCATGACCTGAGCCGAAGGCAGACGCTTAACGACTGAGCCACCCAGGCGCCCCTTTTCTGGACTTTTTAAAGAGCAATGTATTCACCAGTTTGGTAATGTTTATTTTGTATTTTTGTCTTAAGGTAGGGAATTAGATAATAGATTCTGTCCGGTTCTGTGATGCCCCCTCTGGATCATCAAATACCTATTCTATTAATAAAAGTACTTAGGATCTTATTCCTCTTATTCCCTTCTAAATTAGTAATTATCAGAGTAATTCATTTTTCCATTTTATAAATAATAAAGATTTTTCTTGTACCATTTGTTCCCTTTCTCCTCTGCCTTCCCTTCAATGGAAGCTGACATTTTACTGATGGTTTATCAGTCTGGGTATCCTGCTGGGAAGTAGATTGAGATTTAAGAAAAGCAACTTACCATTGGAATGAATGGGTAATTGGAGACTTGCTAAGAAGTTCTAATTTTTTTTAAGTGCTTAATTTGACAGTGGTTTACCTACTGTTCAGCTGACTCAAAATGAATTATTACGCAAAGAACTGACATTCATGTTCATTTTGATGTTATGTTTCAGTCTGGGGAAAAAATAATTTCTCATGGAATTTTATAGACTTTATAGCATATGTGCTATAGATAAAGAAAATTATTTTTTTATGTTTAAATTGTTTAAGTAGCAAATCTCATTTTAGCCTGACTACATTAAGTAAACTGCAGGAAAAAAGAAATAGACAATTTCTGACTCCTGTATTACAGCACAATCCCCTATCAAACAGCATCACTGATAGTGGTTCCTAGCTGTTTCTTAAAAGAGATAATGTAGTTATTATAAGCTAGTAATCTTTGGTCAGTTCTCCCATTTTAGCTGAAAAAATATTGATCATTGATTTGTGTGGTTTTTAAAACGTGTCAATATTTTAACTGAAAACTGATAAGTACTGTAAAACAAGATTTCAGTTTCACCAGCCATTCCTTAAATTTATATCCTTAGCATTGGTTTAAAAGGCATATTTTATTTTTTAAAAAGGCATATTTTATATATTTTACTGTCAGTATATTTAGAAAATTAATAATTGTTTCTAGAACCTATTTTGTTCTTCCTCCATTGATTTTCAGCTTTCAAGTTGTGATACTGTATTTTAAATTTATTTTTTATTTCAACTTCTCCCTCTACTCTTCACTCCTGCCTGTTTTCTTGTCTACTTCCCTACCCATACTCCCTTTTCTTTTTTTTTTCTTTTTGATAAGTAGCTTTATGATGCTAGTTTTTGTGGCTTTTTTGTGACATTCCCTTGAAGCATTTAGAGATTCTTTTGGGTATTACCAAGGCAAAGAAGGCAAATATACTGTCAAAGATTTCGTGAGAGTTCCAGGGAACCCTGTGATGGTGACAAACTGTGACCCAGTATATTCCTAAAAATAGAGGGGTGCCAGCCTGAATGGGCATTTTTGCCTGTTCTCATTGCCAGCTAGTGATGCTTCTCCTGATTAATCTCTGGCATCACAGTGCTTGGAATGCAGCTTCAGGGAAAAAGCACAAAGTAGTCCAATGCACTTACACACTCAAAACAAGCATAATACAGCAAATATATTCTTGCAGAAAAATTAAAAAATCTAGCAATAGGATCAGTCCTGAGCATGTGATTTCCCTATTAACTAGAAAGAGGGATTTCCCAAATGTACAGCTGTTCTTTTAAATTGTCATTTTTCTGTCCAACTCCTACACAAGAACAATAAAATTAATACTTCTGTAGAGCATACAATATTTATTATTGATTCATATGCCTGTGGTTTTATACATGTTTTTAGTATGTTAATACTCACTGATTTTAAATAGTTGCTTTAAAAAAGATAGGAGCTGTGAAAGTTTATTTTGTGTCCAATATAGTGCCATATGCATGAGTGCTTAATCCATTATCTCTGGTTAGTATATGTTTAGTTTCCTGTATCGCAAATGGCAACTAATATCAACTGTAACAGCAAAATCTTATCAAATGGAAATATTCCAAAGAAGAAACATGTTGTTGGAGCCTACTGTATACCTATTTCAAATAGGTTGAAACAAGATTGTTTTCAAATCAGTTGTAAAAATACTCATGGGAATATTTCTCATACCTGTTATACTAAAATCTTCCTTAGAATTACGGTTTTCCTTAGGTTTCGAAGACAGCTGTTTGACCCCGTTTCTTTTAAGTTGTACAAAAAATTACTTTAGCCATCAGTGTTACTGTTTGATGTAAAGCACAGTAAAGTTGACCTAGTAATTTGAGCTTAAGGCCACCAATCCGGAGCATCTACAACTAAATTAATGAATATTCTATTTGCTTATTTGTGAAAAGTATATAGAATTACTTCATAATTGGGACGTCTGGGTGGCTCAGTCATTAAGCGTCTGCCTTCGGCTCAGGTCATGATCCCAGGGTCCTGGGATCGAGCCCCACATCGGGCTCCCTGCTCAGCAGGAAGCCTGCTTCTCCAACTCCCAGTCCCCCTGCTTGTGTTCCCTCTCTCTCTCTGTCTCTCTCTGTCAAATTAATAAATAAAATCTTTCAAAAAAAAAAAAGAATTACTTCATAATTACTTGGAAGTGACGAATTAGTGCCTAAAGTGCCTTGAATTAAAACTTAAACCAGCCTTATCTATAGTTTTAAAAATCTCTAGGCTCACACAGTTGTTTCCATATTCCACAAACTGATGAAATTGAGCTCTTAGATAATTAGAATCAGTCTGTACTCATATCTTTATATTTTCATAACTTTACAATTTGTTGACATTGCAGAAGAGTGCTCTGTGATTTGTACCATGACAAATACATGGATGCATGATTAATAAGCATTGATGTTCATTAATAACATATTCATTTGTTTTCTAGGTATTCCAACCTTATTATATGGACTTGGCTCCTGGTTATTTGCTAGAGTCACAGAGACTGTACATACCAGTTATGGACCAATAACAATTTATTTTCTAAATAAAGAAGATGAAGGTGCCAGGTATTGAAGGTGTGCATCGGAGAACATAAATATCAGTGGATTTTCTCTTGTGTGTATATGCAATGTTTATTTTTGACCCTTTTTTTTTTTTTTTAAAGATTGTATTTACTTGGCAGAGACACAGCGAGAGAGGGAACACAAGCAAGGGGAGTAGGCTTCCCGCAGAGCAGGGAGCCCGATGTGGGACTCGATCCCAGGACTCCGGGACCATGACCTGAACCGAAGGCAGAAGCTCAACGACTGAGCCACCCAGGCGCCCCATTTTTGACCCTTTAAAACAAAACTTTTGTAAACACCTTTTTCTTTCTACGGTGTCGGGTTCTTTAAGATGAATCATTGCCCTCAAGAGGCAAAGCTTTTCATACATTGTTATATATTGCGTGCTCTGTTTAGCCAATGGGAACTACAGATGCATGAAGCATATACCAATTTTTTTTCCTAGAATTGGGTAAATTACAGATAAAAAATGATTATAACATACATATATTCTATAGTTAGGTATTAACAATTCAAGTCGATTCTTTGAGGAGAAAATGGATCTTTTATAGGACACTGGAAAAAGAAGTAGAGGATTTCAGGATATATGTGGAGATAATACCATTGGCAATTCCAGGTGGATTCTAATTGTAATCTGAAATCTAAACTATTCAGCTGCCAGGATTTTCAGTGGGAATGTCTTAAAGCCCTTGTGCCATTTACCTAGATGAGAGGTCTAAATGTAATGTTGAAACTTCTTACTGCCTAAACATCCAATACCATACTACTTTCTAAAAAATAATGACTCTGGTTAATGTAAATGTAGCAAGACAAATGAAATTAAGACCTACTAAAAGTTAAAATAGCATGCTGATAAAGCTGTAAGAACAATTAAGATCTAGAAAGACCCAGAAGAATAAATTTGGTGACTGTTTATAAAAGCAGTTAGCTGAAATGGTACAATATCCATACACTTCTTGGTGATGGGAAATGGGCTGAAATTTTAAAGACCTGATAGCAGTTTTGTGTTAAGATTTTATTAAGTTAATTGCATTTTTGAAGGCAAAGTCATTAAAAAAAATTTATCCTTGGGGGTAGTTACAAAATACCCAGATGAATGGTAAATTTCAGAAATTTGGAGTAATTTAGGGAGAACTAAGTAGAACTATTTAATTTCTAAACCAATGGGTGTTTAAGATTTATGATCTCTCCCATAATTACAAACATACATTATATATCATTTTATGTTAATGTGTTGCTGATACTCTGCAACATTCACACATTATTGTAGCAAAATATTTTATAAAATACAGCATTTGGGTGCTTGCTTCTGGCCAATCCTTAGAGAAAGTGAGTGGCAGTGACTGAGGTGAAAATACCAGAATAAAGTAATACAAACTGACTTCTTTAAAGGTAGTTGTTTTAAATGAGCTGCATAAAGTGAGCTGTTCTTCAAATATATGTAGTGTTCACTTGTCTAAATGCAATTCTAAATAACACTTTAATCAAAGAAGTACTCATATTTAGTCCAGAAGAATATACTTGACACTAGTTAAATGAATGGCTTACACGAAGGAGATAGTGTTACATTAAGCTTCATTAATAATAAAACTGACTATTAGCATTTTGCAAGGAAGGCTAGAACTGATTTCCCCTGTAATGGGCAAAGTTAAATAACTATAGCTCATAAGTTTTAAGTCAAATACTGCTCATTCACTGCTGCTGGTCTTGTCAATACTTGCTGTAAAGGTTTGGTCCCAGCACAAGGCCGATAAAATGGTTTTTAATTACTAGACTATAAATACAGCTTTTCAGTAGAGTTGCACTTCTTTTCACACTGGCCTGTTTGATTTCTGATAATTTGTACTGCTGACTCTGCTTACCTGTTTTTCAATAGCTACAGTCAGTGTGACTTCTTGTCCATATGGTGATAGGTAAGTCTCCTTGGAGAAGATCTTTGACAAACTACCCTATTGATCTCTGTAATTCTCTGCTGCTTGCAGCATTAAATAGAGCCTTGATTTCTTGTCTCATGCGCTCGCTGTGTAACAATTAAGCAAATGTAATATTTTCTTGTATTACATGAAAATCAATAGACCTCTTGCTCTCATGGAGTTGATCATGGTGAAGGATGAACTCAACGATGGCTAAGGGCATAGTTCAAATATTAAAATACCATTCATTGGATTCATTAAGTCTTAACAGTGAACCTTTTAGTCTAAAAATGCTCCCCATTGAACAGTAATGGTTTAAGTTTTTCCTTTAAAGTTGAATATGACATGGAAGCATTGTGGTCTAAAAGGGATAAAGTATAAATGCTAGAAGTCAGGAGATTGATTCTATTTTAGTGTCAGTCCTGTATTACTTTTTGACCTCAAGCTAATAACTCTACTCCTTTGTGTCTTAGTTTTTTCCACCTATAATCTGAGAAGAACAAAACAAGGAACCTTTCTACTTTAAAATGTATGATAAATATACTTGTAAGCAAATGTCAGTTTTATTTCAGTAAAAGCTGGTTTTGTAGTCCTCATTCTTCCATTCCATATGTATTTATATGTAAAGAACTTCATTAACGGAAGGATTTTAAAAATAAGGGAGAGAAAGAAAGGAGGAGACAAATTGAGGCATTGTATGGTTGCCTGCTTGAGAGCTGATAATGCCTGAGATGGCAAGCAGGGTTCCAAGTTGACCCTGCCATTCTGGATATTAGGAATATTCTTAGTTGATGAAACAACCAAACACAGCTTTTCTGCCAATACTTCTTTGATGGGATTTTGTCTTAAAAAAAAATCCAGGCAAAACTATTTTTTAATGAAGATGAGTGTTAGTATAAAATTTTAGAAATCTTCTATTGTTACTTCTATGCAAATCAGTTATCAAGTATTGGAAGAAATTTCTGGTCAAAATTTTTAGTTCCTATGTGAACTGTGAACCACCATAAAGATACAATAAGAATTGGCATGGATGAGGTGGCTAATATAAAAATCCCTAGTTTCTCAGTGCTAATGTCTTATCATACCAAAATGACAAATAGCTATTTCTTTTATCACACATATTTGGTCACTAAGATTTTGCTAATTGTTGACTTCAGTAAAAAAATGAAACATTTTTAATTATTAAAAGCCATACATATTTCTTTTACAGTGTACATTTTATTTCTTGTCATTTATATTTATATTCACTCAAAACTCTAAGCAAGAACATCTATAATGCTTCATGAAGTATCTCTTAATTCTTTTAAAGAATGAATGATGTTTAAATGGGTGGGGTGACATCAAGACAGGATCTTGGTTTCATTTCATTTAAAAGCTAATGCAGATAACAGAAACCTTATCCTAAAGCTGGTAGATCGGGTATCTTTTTTTCAGCACTTACCATTCAGACAGTAATGATGTTTGAGGGCATCTTAACCTAAACAAGTATTTAGCATTACATCTTACCTGGGTCAACAGTCTAGGGTATCAAAGTTAAACTGTGTTACTGTAAATTAATGGAAAATGTAACTGCACTTTGCTGAAAGATCAATGTCCAATAAAGGCTGCACAATCAAATCTTGTTGCAATGATTGAGGTCTTTAATTGCCTTTCAAAGATAAGGTGGTAATCAACACAGCTTTAACTGATTTTTTTACTAGTTCAATCACATGCTAATGACTAGTGCCAAGTCAGAATCTTTAACTACTTATACTTATTAAATCTTGCGTTAGTAATGAAAAATTACTTTAGCTACACAATTGATAGAACACAAATCTTAATTACTATATTTCACTTTTATACTATTTTATATGCTTGACAAATGTTTCACAAGAGCTTTCCCAACAGTAAGAAGTGTTATTAATAGTGACCGTGGTCCACAGAGTATTTTTGTAATATAAATTAGAGAAGAGATGTTGAGAAAAAATTTCTTCTTTAAACGAAAATGTGGCTAAAATAGTTTCCACTGACATAAGTTTGGCCATCCAGCTACTTCTAGGAATTCTATTCTGCTAATTCAGAATACCTTTAATACAACTGGGATAAAATAAATCCAGACTGTTTTTAGTGTGTTTCCAAAGTTTCGGTTAGTTTTCTAGTAAAGAAATTAATTTTGTGTAAAGCCTGCTATAAAATTCTCCTAATTGGGGAAAGGATAAGTTAGTAAAGGGAAATGAAAACTGAAAATAAGTAGGACTTCAACAAAATTAAAAACTTTCATGCTTCAAAGGATACTATCAAGAAAATGAAAAACCAGCTGATGGTATGGGAGAAAATATTTGCAAATCATGTATCTGATAGGGGACTTGTAGCTAGAATATATAAAGAACTCTTATAACTCAAAAACCCAATTGAAAAATAGATTTGAACAGATATTTCTCCAAATAAGTTATATAAATTTTTGCTACTAAGCACATGAAAAGATGTTCAACATTAACTGCTGGGAAACTCAAATCAAAACCACAATGAGATACCACTTCATACCTCCTACGATGGCTATAGTCACAAAGGCAGATGATACCAAGTATTGCCAAGGATGTGGAAAAATTGGAACCCTCATGCATTATCAGTGGGAGTGTAAAATGATGTAACAACTTTGGGAAAGTTCGGCAGTTCCTCAAAATATTAAGCATGAACTTAACATATGACCCAGCAATTCTATTCCTAGGTATATACTGTAGAGAACTGAAAACATATGTTCACACAAAAACTTGTATGAAAATGTTCATAGCAGCATTGTTCATTTTAGCCCCAAAATGGAAACAACCCAAATAGCTACCAGTTGATGAATGAATAAATAAAATGTGGCATGTTCACACAATGAAATTCAGTCAAAAAAAGGAATGATGGACCCATACACATGATAGGATTGATAAAGCTAGAACACATCATGCTAAGTGAAAGAAGGCAGTCATAAAAGACCACATATTACATGATTTCATTTATATGAAATGTCCAGAACAGGCAAATCTTTTTTTTTTTTTTTAAGATTTTATTTATTTATTTGACAGAGAGAGACACAGTGAGAGAGGGAACACAAGCAGGGGGAGTAGAAGAGGGAGAAGCAGGTTTCCTGCAGAGCAGGGAGCCTGATGCGGGGCTCGATCCCAGGACCCCGGGATCATGACCTGAGCCGAAGGCAGACGCTTAACGACTGAGCCACCCAGGCGCCCCCCAGAACAGGCAAATCTACAGAGCCAAAGTGAATTAGTGATGGTCTAGGGATGGGGAGGTTGGGAGGAAATGGGCAGTGACATGTCATGGGTATGGATTTTCTTTTTTGGGTGATGAAACTGTTCTAAAATTGTGGTGGTGGTTCACGACACTGCGACTATACTCAAACCATTGAATGGTACATTCTCAATGGACGACTGTGTGGCATGTGAATTATCTCTCAATGAAACTTAAAAAATTAGTAATGGGGAGAGGGGAAATGGGCCGTTAGTATTTAATGCGATATGGTTTCAATTTTGCAAGATGAAAAAAGATCTCAGACAGATGGTACCAATGGTTGTATAATAACGTGAATGATAATGTGACTGTACTTGATACCACTGAACTATACACTTAAAAATGGTTAACATGGTGCAGTGGCTGGGTGGTTCATTCAGACTTGGTTTAGGCTCAGGTCATGATCTCTGGTGGTGGGATCCAGCCCCACAGCCGGCTCTGTTCAGCGCCGGGTCTGCCTGAGATTCTACCCCTGACTCCGGCTCCTCCCCAAGTATGCACTCTCTCTCTTTCTCAAATAAATAAATACATAAATAAAATCATTTTTAAAAAATTATTAACATGGTAAATTTTGTTTTATATGTATTTTACTGCAAATAAAAATAATTTTTAAAATTTAGTAAAGGATTTAATATTACTGCAATGAAATACAACTGATTACATGATTTCTATAGAAAATAATTGAGTTTAGAAACATGTTAGAGATTATAAGAGGTAAAACATGTTAGTATCATTTTAGACATTGCAGTCTTAGAATTTAAAAAATTTTAATTGTGAAACCTAGTTTTAATTAAGTAGATGAAATCTCATTTGGGATCATTTTTAGTAGCATTAAGGATATACTTTTATATCTTCATTATATACTTGTATCCTGAAACTAATACAATGTTGTAGGTCAATTATTCTTCAATATAAAAATACATATACACATGCACAAAGAGATTTTTTTTTAAAGATTTTATTTATTTGACAGAGAGAGACACAGCGAGAGAGGGAACACAAGCAGGGGGAGTAGGAGAGGGAGAAGCACGTTTCCCGCTGAGCAGAGAGCCCGATGTGGGGCTTGATCCCAGGACCCTGGGACCATGATCTGAGCCGAAGGCAGACGCTTAACGACTGAGCCACCCAGGCGCCCCAAGAGATGTGTTGTTTTAAAAAGATGTACTTGGTTTGAGATTATTTAAGATGAGACCAAAGAAAAACATGTAAAATGTTAGTAAATGAAAATATCCTCTTTTAGATCCTAGTTGCTGGGTAAAGAATATTAGCTACTACTAGTATGAGGTGTTATACAGTATTGCTTATAGCTATTTTAGTTGCACTTATATCATTTTAAATACAGTTTATGAACGTTGTACTACTCCATTATATTATTACTTTATCTTCAGTGATATTTATAGTATCAATTTAAAAGCAGTAAAACTTCATGAAAAGTAGCTTAAACACAAGGATTTTGATAAACAAAAGCTTCCAGTTTTTAAAAGCAAATCATGGGAGCTGTACTTCTTAGAGATTTGAAGTTTTCGTATTGTTGTTGATGATAGAATTATGAACCTTATAAACTCAGTATTTTTTAGTTAACCTAAATACATAAATCTATTTGAATTCATCTTATGAAAAGAGATATGTCATTAGATATATGATCATTATATGTTTTAGTGATTCATGGACCTTGTTACATACATGCTTTGTAATGTATGAATTATTTAGTAAGAAAAATCACAATAATTTTGTTGTTACTCAAAAATTTATGGGTTGGCAGAAACAATTATGCAGCCCCTGAAGCTGGTATGTTAAGGTAACATCATTAACACTATGTAGTATGATTTTTTTAGTAGTTACTTGACATAACCTTTACTGTTTCTGCTAGAATATATCAGTAATTTTATAACAATCTGTCTGTAAAGAGAACATTGAATTTATTAACCACAAAGTGATTCATTTTGCTCTATTTTCATATAAGTGCATAATTTAAAATCAGACCTAAAAAAGTTGTCTACCCTAAAGGAGGAATAAAAAAAATACAAATGAAAATCAATACTCCAGTAAATAGATTAAAAATTTTTTTAATTTTAACTCCACTTAATAAAAATGGATATTTCTATTTCAAAAAATAAATACGTTTAAGAAGTGAATGAGGGGCGCCTGGGTGGCTCAGATGGTTGAGCGTCTGCCTTCGGCTTGGGTCATGGTCCCGGGGTCCTGGGATCGAGCCCCGCATCAGGCTCCCTGCTAAAGTGGGGAGCCTGCTTCTCCCTCTCCCTCTGCCATTCTCTCCACTTGTGCTCTCTGGCTCTATCTCTCTGTCAAATAAATAAATAAAATCTTAAAGGAAAAAAAAAAGATTTAAGAAGTGAATGAAAGTCCATGAAGATAGGAGATTATCTCATAACCTTTCTTTACACATGATATTAAGGCCCTTTCTGTGAGATGAAGCCAAAATTATAGTTTCTTATGCTTTCAGTTCTCCAGATTTATAAATGAAGGAACCAAGAATTTTAAAGTTGGCATATAAATCTAAATAGTGTCACCTAATTTTAGATTACATTTAAAAATCAATAGTCATTCATTCATCCTCCAAATACTTTTGCATTGATCACGTTGAAGGCAAATTTTAGTAATTTTACTTGTCAACAAAATCTAGCAGTTCTGAATCTATGTACAGGGTCCGTTCAAGCCATACTGGGGGAAAAAAAAAAACAGCTTCTGTACATAACTGGATGAGAACTACATCTTACTAATTTTGTGTTCACAACATTTATCATATAATGAAGACTTTGTGTGGAATGAATGTGTGATATTCAAAATTAAAAATAAAACTTGTCGGGCGCCTGGGTGGCTCAGTCGGTTAAGCGTCTGCCTTCGGCTCAGGTCATGATCCTGGAGTCCTGGGATCGAGTCCCGCATCGGGCTCCCTGCTCAGCGGGGAGTCTGCTTCTCCCTCTGACCCTCCTCCCTCTCATGCTCTCTGTCTTTCATTCTCTCTCTCGCAAATAAATAAATAAAATCTTTAAAAATAAAAATTAAATAAAAATAAATAAAACTTGTTTTCATCTTTAAGAGCTTCAAGAAAAGGATACGTACCTGGAGATAATATGAATTATTTGCAAGAACAGCAACAAGTTTTGAAATACCTCACATGTAATGAATTAACGTACACTGTTCTATGTATTCTGAAAAACGAAAGACTTGAATCTTGTAATATCCTTTTGAGGCATTTCAAAAGGTGCTGTCTGTCTTCTCATTTTAAAGTCAAATGAAATGATATGCAGAAGTAAATGAAGTGAAACATTAAACAGAAAGTACTAGGATCAGTTAGACTTACTCATTTAAATAGAACTATAAACAATATGTTGGT